AATTGTAACTTATTTTCATAGGCATGGAATACGCTTTCCGTTGAATCTACACTTCATACGTTTTAATTTTAATCCCGAATAAATAAGTCTTAAACAAATCTGTTCAAAAATTTGTTCTTGTATTCATTAATCGAACATATTTTCTTGAACTAGACGCTGAAATGTCTGTAAGTCTGCATTTGATTCCAAAAAATAAAGTCAAGTAAACTTCAAATAACAACCCAAGTGAGCGAAAAATAAGTGAAGACGGCCGACAAGACTAGTCTAAAATGTCCGAAATACTCGTCATGTCTAATCTAAAACGTCTTACACCCTCGTCATGACTAGTCATCTTTAGGAGAAATGTCCTTTAATCACGTCTGGACTAGTCCAGGAAGTCTTTGAATCCGTCATGCCTAGTCTGTTTCGTCCATCTATCCCGTCCAGACTAATCTGTAGAACAGAAAAATAATAAAAAAGGAAGACGAGAAGGGGATTCGAACATTCGACCCGACAGTATTCAATCTCTGACGGTTGTCCTGACGATAGATCATGACAAAGCGACAGACATGACGTCAGTTTAAACACACTGACTAGCAGAGTGACGCGCATCTATCTACAGGGTATAACATAATTATTACGCCCCCTCTAGAACTTAAAGTATAAATGATATCAAAGAGTATTATATACCAAATTAATGCTCGTCAAAAATTGGATTTATGAGTATAATTAATAGATCTTAGAACAAATATTGGGTATGAAATTACTGAAATGTCTTGAAAAACATGCCGAAATGCGCTCGTACTTTACAGGTGTGGGTGGATCGCGGTGTGGATGGGGCTATGGATGTGGGTGGATGTAGGTGTGGGTGGGGCTGTGGATGTGAGTGGAGTGCGAATGGAGTATGGGCATGGATGTGGGTGTGTGTGTGACCGTGTAGGTGAGCGTGAGTATGGTTGCTAATAAAGTAGTAGGGAGCACTGACACCCACACCGACACTCACACCCTTATCCACACACATCCACACCCACACCCACCCACACCCCACACCCGCCCACACCCACACCCACACCACCCACACCCACACCCACACCCACACCCACACACCCATACCCACACCCCACACCCACACCCAAATTTTTAAATAGTATTAAATTACCAACGACATAAACAAGATTCCTGAGTCGAATTCGATGCAATTTCAACTAATTCATTTTCAATATAACTATGAATGTCAAACAGTTAGAAAAAAAGACAATAGGATATCAATAATGATTTGATTTGTAAAAACAGATCTTTAATAATCACATTCTATATGTTATTCTATGAATAGTGTTTATTATAGCAATAATTTATATAAAAATACAGATAGTGGCAGAAGCACATAATTATTTCGATCTATCTAAGTACAATAAAACATTTGATGAGTGTATCTCTGTCATCATACGAAATATGTAAGAGTTTCTTTTATTCAACTGTTCGATTTCAGTTCTTTAATCAGTTATTTATCATAATTAAAGTAGAGAATTAAAGCAAGTGGAACTTTCGAATTTCATTAAGATCATATCTGAAAATCTTTCTTTTTTTTATCTTTACAATGATATAGAACATTTTATTAATTACGTAACATGATTGTTAATATTACAACATCAAAGCCAAATATGTAACGAGGGTGTGGGTGTGGGTGTGGGTGTGGATGTGGGTGTGGGTGTGGGAGTGAGGGTGTGGGTGTGGGTGCGAATGTGGGTGTTCCTGAAGAGGATACCATATACTACACCCACACCCACACTCACGCCCACATCCACCGACCCACACCCACAGACCCACATCCACCCACACCCACCCACATGCACACGCACACCCACCCACACGCACACCCACACTCACACACCCACACCCCACCACCCACACCCACACCCACCCACACCCACGCCCACACTCACCCACACCCACGCCCACACTCACCCACACCCACACCCTAACACAAATATGATTGATTGCAATTCCATAAAGTGGTATACAAGTAGCAATGCGAAACCAAGGTGTACGAATCTAATACGAGATCAACATGAACTTTTCTTTTATTATTCTCCTTCATTTTTTACTAATACTTTTTTTGGCTTTGGTACACATTCAAGAAGAAATGCTTTTTCCTCGGGTGCTATACAAGGATGTTCTGAAGGCGAATTGTACGCAAAAAAAAACACCATCCTATGAACCAAACACACGTAAGTAGACCTTTGAAATTTTTGTTTCAATAGAAAACGATAAAGATAAGAGACGAAGATCTACTTACCGGTGGCATAAAAAGCTGATGGCCAGCCACCTAAAAATGTTGATGTACAGAGTAGACTAACCAATGGAGTTATAATCACAATACCGAATTCTTTGCCTGGACAGGAATAACGAGAAGAGATATAAAAAAACGTATATTAGAAAAAAAATATTCCGAAGTCTCAGGTTGAATTCTCAATTAACCTATAGAAGCTGGGGCCGGGACAATACTTCGTTCGAACGGTGGAATCCATCGACCCCACAATGCACTCGCACTCGGAAGAGCTGGAGCCTATGAAAAATAAAAGACATTTTATTAAACAATGTGTGGCTCGTATTTCGATGTACCTCAAAAGCGCCAATCAATATTCGAACAGCAATAAGTAGACCAGCATGACTTCGAGCAGCAAGTGGTATTAATAATGTTAGAATGCCAGCACCGAGAGCGCTACTACCAAATATCTATTTGGCACCAAACCATTCGGCAAGATTACCTTTGCATTCAAGAGAAGACACAATATGATACACAGAAGAAGACAAAAGACTTATCCCCTATGATTTGTGTGAGCAGATAACCATAGAAGAACGAGCTCAAGACGAAACCTTGTGTTTTTGGTGACCAATCCAATATGTCCTTGTTGAATCGGATATTAAATATAAAGTTAGTTGATATTCTTCTTACTTTGATAGATGCCTCTTGTGATGAACTATTGTTACTATTATCAATGGATGGACACGCTTGAATCGATTCTTTTGTAACACTTTGTGGTATTGTCATAGCCACTAAATAAAATGCAAAGAGAGTGAAAGAGATCACCCTCAAGCAGAGAATCATTGACATATACCGATGGCGACGGATAAATTAACTCGAAGCGAATACAAACAAAGAAAGCCGAAAAAGGCCCAGATAGCTACGACCTAGACAATAGTCAAATATTACTACAATGGAGAGAAAAAGAGAAACGCACATATCGAGTGGCGATACAATATCACACTGAAGACGATTGAATTTGATAAGTATTGTTACCATCGACAATATCATTATCGAGTAATGGTACTTGCTTGCCATCATCGTTGAGTTCTTCTTGTTTCGATGAATTCATTGTTCTTACTATCAACATTATCTAAAATACATTCTCAAAATGAATAATAGAAAAACAAGTAAACGTTATGTTTTTGTTAAAACACAAAAAACGAACGCACTACTGTTAAAAAAATAGAAATCATTCAAAATCATTTACTGTTCTCGTCATAACACAGTGAGTTAGAGAATCATTATCCCGATATGAACAATCGAATCGTCGGAGATTGAGAGACTGTTCCATGAATTAGAATGTGAGAGAAAATTTGTTTAGGAGTAATAAATATCTGTATGAACTGACGTCATCGATAAAAAAACGAACAAAGATTCCATGACGAATCATTGGATGATTAATGATCTGTCTTTTGCTGCATGAGATCTACGAAATAACAAAAAAGATATTTCCGTCTTTCTCTCAAATGCATGTATACCATTGACTAAAGTTAGTCGAGTAATAATTGTACAGAGTGTTTGGAGGAAATTTTTAGAGATAATTTCCCATCTATAAGTGCTAAATATCGCTATTTCAAGTGTTGCCGTATATATGAATTGAAACCTGTATAGCAATATGCACCAAAGTTTCTGCACCATTCAAAAAATGATCTCGGAATTATTAATTGACCTACATTTAAGATAAACGATCTCCTATGTAATGGAGAAAACAATGAAGACAGATCTGGCGATACTTTCTCAAAAATATTCTTCAAAGCAAAATTATCTTTCTTCGAAGAACAAGCAGAACAGATATATTTATATCCATTTTTCTCTGATTTCCGCAATACACTGTAGTTTTTCTACCATTTTTTATTGTTTGAAATGTATCTTGAATTACAAGAGAAACGGAAAGTAGAGAAAGTCTAATAAATAAATAGCAACATGAAAAATTGTTTTGTTTCTTAGTGCTTTCATTTTAGTTCCAATGTTCTAAATCTAAACTTAGAATACAGTAGCTGCCCTTGTCAAACAGTAATATAACACACCCAAGAACTCGATAAATGAGAAAAATGACGATTTTTATGTAGAAAAAATGGAAAAGCTGTTAACACAATCCTTGTGGGATTGAAATATGTAACACGATGTAGTTGCTCTTAGTATGCACTGAGAGATTATTTTAATCTATCCAGTTTACAGTGCATTTTTAAACCATTGTTTTATTTATACCTCAAGAAAAGATTGCCAATTCAATTCTATACAAGAATATATAAGAGCGTTAGATCCAAAATTCAAGTATGAAAAATTGAACCAACAATATTGTAATGTTTTGACATGTTGAATTTTCTAAAGTTTCTTCTTCAAATTCAAATAGCTTTCTATGACTGCACAAATAAAAAATTCGTTCATGAGGGTGTTTTTCTACAATCAATTATGTTCTATCTCGTAGTGTAAAATAAGTCTATTTGAAACAAGTATTATGACTCAACAAGTATGTCTTTGAAAGAAGATCGAAAACGGAGGAAATTTATTTTATTGTGCTCATTTTATTCGAAAAATCATTGGTACTTTAGGAAAATCTGAGAAAAAGAGAATTTTTATCCTCCAATGCATATTTCGATGCGTAAAAATTTAGTTCTAGCGAAAAGATAGAACCTTTTAAAAAATACAATATGGTTAATTAGTTGTGTATACCTCAAATATCTGGAGAATAAAACCAAAAGCTATTTTTTTTGCTAGGAAATTTGGCATGTTGGAGTCTCACAATATTATTTGTTCAATTTTTCATACTTGAGTTTGGGATTAAACGTCTTTATATATTTTTGTAGAGAATTGAATCAGGAATCTCTTGAAAAACGATTAAGTTCAAGGAATTAGTCCTAACACAGTTATTCATGAAATACCGAAAGGACCATTTTTATGGAACATACGTTGCTTTGATTAAAATATCTGCTCCATCAAATTAATTTCACTTTTTTTATGAATATGTCCAAATATATCATTTAAATGATTTTTTTAAAATTTTCTACCTTCCTGAGTGGGTAAGAGTAACGAACGTAATACCTACTATGTTACCGTTGTTATGTATGGAAGCGTCTAGCAGGTTTCTGTAAAAAGTAATACTAACACTTAATCCATTAGCATTAGTATGTATATGTATACTCACAGTAACATACTAGAAGTTGGCGCTACATGCAATGAAGTGACAATTCTTGTAATCTTCAACTAAGCATGACTTTGCCTGAAGACTTTATGTGTCTCTCTTCTAGAGAGCGAAACAGAACAGTACAAAAAATTTTTCTGAGATATTTTTACCAGACCGGGGATAATAAATTGCCCTATGATGATATCTAATGTATTATGCTTTTATTCTTCCTTTGCCATTTCGTTCTCAATTGATTTTTAACTTCTTCAACTGCCCACAACATCATAAGGCGTGTTCTGAGAATGCACGAATATTCTTTTAGACAGTGACTAGGATCTGCACACATTATGAACTATTGTTACATGGTGTCGCTAATATTTTGTTTGTGCAAATTCAGTCTAAAAGAATATTCATGCATTCACAGAATAGGTCTTATTATGATGTTGTGAGAAATTTGAAAAAGTTCATAATTAATCAATTGGGAAACAAATAACTTAAAAAGAAAGAGATAACTGCAGCAAATATCATGATTTTTATTTCATACAGAAAAAAAAAGACTCAAGCTTTCGTATACAATTCATGTATACATCGACAGGAGTTATACAAAGTTATGAAGATAATTAATTAGACGAAGAAATGTATGGTATTTTCCATCAGATGTATTTTGTTGATATTAAAGCTTCACCAGAGTGGGGTGTGGGTGGGAGATGTGGGTGTGGGTGGGTGTGGGTGTGGGTGGGTGGTGGGGGGGGGGGGGGGGGGGGGGCGGGGGGGTGGGGGGTGGGGTGTGGGTGTGGGTGGGTGTGGGTGTGGATGGCGGGTGCGGGTGTGGGTGTGTGTGGGTGTGGGTGAGTGTGGGTGCGGGTGTGGGTGTGGGTGGGTGTGGGTGAGTGTGGGTGTGGGGTGGGTGTGTAGGTGCGGGTGGGTGTGGGTGTGGATGCAGCAGTAACCGATAATAGATCAACACCCACACTCACACCCACACCCACACCCACACACCCACACCCACACCCACACACCCACACCCCACACTCACACCCCACACCCACACCCACACCCGCACACCCACACCCACACCTTATTTTGAATGACTAATGACGAGAAAAAAAGACAAAAAGTGTTTGTATGATTGAATCAACATTACATTGTCTAAATAGTTATTTATCGATCATCAATATGTTTGAACATGACTTAAGTATTGAATACAAATATAAGCCAAAACAATTTCTTTTTTTTATTCTACTCTCAACTATACGTAGAGATATTTAAGTACAATCCTTTTATCATTGAGAAATTAGCCATGAATTGCATTCCATCGAAAGAAGGTAATCGAGTGCAAATCAATTATTGTACGATCAAAAGACTTCTTCTTTTTTTTTTAAAGAACTAATTATATGGTCAAGATTTGAATAGAATAAAAAATTGTATTTAATTAATGGAATCAAAGTTTTCTTTTTTTTTAATTGAAATAAATATTGTTTTAAAAATTACTAAAATTCAAGAATAAATGAGCAAAAAACAAGCTATTTGTTTTATTATCACGTCTATATGTCAATAATATCATCACTAATATATGAATTAACATCCATCAATCAAATCCAATTGATGAAGACATTTAAGGATTTTTTTATCAAACGATTTTTTGAATGGCATTGCTCTCAGCCATGAATAAGGAAGAGCTTTATAACCATGTCTTGCGCCATACATAGTTCCACATACTGCTCCATTAGTATCAGCATCACCTCCATACCGAATAAGATCATTTAATGTCTGTTCAAATGAACGTGTAGATCTTAATCCATAAAACCCCGATGCTAAACATTTATATGTATAACCAATACTTCTTGGTTCGTCAAGGTTAAGTTCTTCTAGTGTACGTTCTTTATCTATATGCCATAAGAATAATTCACGATGTTCGTCAGAAAACTTATCACCAAGTATTTCGATAGTTTCTTTTTTAACACGATTTATTAATGATTCAATATCATTTTGATCGAATTCTTCTCTTAAAAGGCAAGTAATAGTCAAACAAACAGCAAGACAGGAAGCAATGCATCGAGGATCAAAATGAGTCGTTTTACACATCAATTTAGTCGTTGATATGACCTTTTTAAATTGAAATATATTATGAAATATTTTAATAAAAATGTACATTGAGAAAACGTATGTTCTTACGAGAGAAATACTCAATGATACTTATGTGTATTTTTCCTTGAAATCCCAAATTTTTCAATGTAATGGCTGTTTCAAATTCTGATACATAAATTCAATGACTAACTCTACTCGATTACGATTGGAATTAGAAAAAGTTAACCATCAAAATTATACCTCGAAGGTCCTATCATTTTTTTTCGACTGAAAATATTGATCTCGGTTCTATACTGTAGGCTTGCAATAGAAAAGTGATTTTGTATATTCAACATATGAGTTCAAATACAATTAATCACTTCAGATACTATTTCGAATATTTCATTGAAAAAAGAAAAGCATGAATAATATATATATCAAATTTTGATACTTATAGAAATTAAGAAATTTTTCAATATTATAATACCTTTTCTCGATCGTTAAAATGAACAAATGCCGATGCTGAACAACGCATAACAGCTC